TACTGATGAAATTTAGACAGAGAAATATGGTACTCTTGGTGCTTATCTGTACCTTTCATATTTTACTCCACTGGGATTACCCTATCTTGAGGGATTTCTTTGTTTTCTGCTTTAGATTTCCCCCTTTCTTAGCTGTAGTACAGCCGTACCATTTCAGCTTGCTAGTGCAGAAAGATGTTGTGAATTCAGTTGCTGAATGATCCCGGCCTGACTGCAAACACTAACATGGCTAGAGAGATGCCAAAGAGTTGCAGAGCCTGATCAGGGCAACAGCAAAACGGTAAGATGGGGCTCGTTTAAATCTCCAGGATTAATTGGGTGCTGGGGCTTCCCGTTTCAACCTGAAGCCTAGTTATCACATGCTTCCAACTTGAGCAGGATTCATTCTGTGCATGTCAGGGTGGCTTTTCTCGGGAATGGTTAAAATCCAGGCGGGGGGGCGGTGGGAAGCTGGGAACGCCACATGAGACCTCTCGGCAGCCACCCTGGTGAGAGTCCCTGGCAGCACTGCCTGCGGTTTGTAAATATCAGGGAAAAGGTAGGGGAAGGCTTAAAAGCCATGCTTTTCTCGGTACAGCTTTGTATTTCTCTCTCCAACAGCCTTATTTATTATTGTATTATGAGGATAGTATGGGCAATTTTTTCCGATATATGCTTGGCTGAATGCCCTCTGGGACAAGTGAGTGAAGGACGTGATCAGCCACTTTTTCATCTCTGCTAACAAGTCTGTGCATCTTGCTAGATCTGAATAAATGTCTTTTATCAGTTACAGATTTGCTTGGTGGTGGAAGATGAAATTAAAATGATCCCTTTTAACTGCATGCTATATCATAGATGTCAGAATATCTTTTTGCCTTGTTAACTTCTGTGATTATTTCTCTTGCGTGCTCTCTTTATTTAATGAAACAAAAAGTGAGGTAGTAATTTTAAGTAGTCATTCTTGAATGCTTATGTAGGAGTGTGTTGGCAGCGGTTTAGATCTTAGTGGAAAATTTCAGCGTATGAAAGCTTAGGAGCAGCAGTGTGTTCAGGGAAAGAGAGGAGGAAAAAAGCAGGAGTTATCGTTAGTATAAGACAGAGAGATAAAAATGTGGTCATTGTACAGAATAATTTGAATTATTTTTGATGACTTAACTGACAGCTAGTGTGTTTCAGTTGTAGATCAAGCCTTAGATTAATCTCAACAGAAATCTAGCAGAACTGAACAAAAAAGATATTTCACCATATGTTCTAGCATTTAAAGGAAACCAACTGTGATAGTAATGATAGTATGATGAAATATGTTTTTTGCTATTGCTAGTTAAAGGTAGAAGCAGAGAGTTTTATTTCTAAAGGAATGTGTTTATGCAGTATGTGAATCATACTCCAAGAAGAGACCAGTTGTATATCGATATGGGATCAAATAACTAGTTTGACAGTGATTCATGTTTGCTTTTTTCTGTACTTGCCAATTAAGGGGTTTTTCTTCTTAGTCCCTGAATATGATTAAAGGGGGAAGAATCAGTCCTATCTCAATTATTTTCTGAAAGCTTCATTGTTATTTTGATGGAGTTCCTTATTTAAAAAAAAATTCTAAACTATGTGACACTATGACACTATATGTACTGCAAGGTAAGTGATGTGAAGTCTGCTGTTTCTCAATGTATACAAACTTAATTTGCATAGTTTTGTCTCAGAAAAAAGAGATACTTTTTTTTTTTTCAAGAATAACCTTGGATGTTTCTGTTACAATAACTGTTTCAGCTGCAAACATTTTTAAATGGAAGTTTTCTTTTGCTTATACTGTCATACCTATTAATAAACGGTAAACATTCAGTGCATTTGACATTGTTTATTGCTTAGAAGTAGTCCAACCATTTCTGTTTGCTCTCATGTACTAGGAATGAAAGTCCAGAGACTCTTAGGCACGTGGGATTTTTTTAAATCAAAATTTAAATTAGGATATTTCTTAGTGGCATTTTTTCACCTACATATGTAAGTGTGAAAGTTGTTGCTTCTGTCAGCTTTCTTCCTCCAAGTGTTTTTTCTCCCCAAATGTAAAACCATCAGCTCTGTTCACTGTGTTACTACTGTCTCTGGGGTCCGCCCATTTTAGGTTTCTGAGCTTAAGAAATCAATAATGTTTTGGACATTTTTTATTAATAAATAATATTCCCTATGGTAATATTTAGTTAAACATAGATCCTAAATTAACTAAGGGAGGAAAATAAAATATAATGTGAAAAATGTGGCCAAAAGTTAAGAATGCAGATGGGAAATGTAAGAAATACATCATTTAATAGGCAGTTAGTGGTGAGTGCTCGATAAAGTTTACGGTCTTCCCTGTGTGGATGAGTTTTGCAGCGCGGCTGACGCCTGTCGCAGCAGGAAATAAGAGCTTACCTGAGGGCTGAATGCTTGCCATAGCCTCCTTCATGTCTCTGACTCCAGACAGAAAGAACTTCAAAAAGTTGGAGTAGGAGCAAGCTAAAAATCGACATCACATCTCAATGCAAGGAGGTTAGCCAGCCTTTGAAGTCATATAGCAAAAATGATCACCTAACTATCTCTTTTTAGCTGTTTTGCTGTGTAAATCTTAAACAAAATGAAACAGAAGATCCCTAAAACCAAACACATACAGAGTTTTTAACATTTTTCCCCTCACACTGGAAGCTTGGATGGGCTGTTTAAAATGCTGGCCACAGAGTTGGTGCTCTGTCTCAGGCGGGCAGTTCTTGCCTCTCCCAGGACACCACAGACAAAGGCAATGGCGGGTGCCATTGCACGGACCTGCAGTTGGGCCTCAGTGCCAGTGTGCCTGGTCAATCTCAAGGGGTGGCTGGCATGAGCACTGCCAGAGCGAGTTGCACAGCTCCGCTGGGCTCTGGCTGCCACTGATAAGAGATTATTTTGTCCTTTAAGGGAAATCCTTGCATGGTGTCAGCTACATCTGAGGTGTCTGTTTCATGCAGATTTCGGTACACTGTCCTGGCCTCACCTGGTCAGAAGTGGTCAGAAGGAATTTGCTGGGGTGAGACTTAGTGCAAATGCTCGGCCTAGGTTAGGTGAGGCTTCAGGTTGTCATATTTGGTGACTTCTCTATAAATGTGGGAATAAATGCGCTCCTTAATGCTCACAGGAGCTGCCAAGCAGATCCAGACAGCTTTGCTGGGGTTATTTCCCTTTGAAGTCCTGGCAGAATATTCAGCTGTCAGATGGTGCTATACGTGGTTTGTAAATTGAGTTTGATGATACTAGTGTTTTCCTCAATATTGCAGGTACTGATACAATGATAACTACAGCTTACAAACCATGTTGAAATAAAAGAGAATATCCTAGTAAATATTAATTGAAACAACAGAGAGCCAGTGTGATAGCAGTGCTCCAAAGCCTCTTTCTGAATTAAAGAAATGTAGTTGCTGTTTTAAATTTGGGAAGAACAGATTAAATACTGTTTTCTAAGCTTAAGTTCCCTTAGGTAGATCCATACTGACTTCCAACATCTTTGGTTAGGTTTTTCTTTTGGTACCCTGTCAGAAAGTTACATGAATGGAAAGTTGTTCATTTAAGGAACAGACTCTTAAGGACTTTATTTTTCTTTAATCCTGCTATCACAACATTAATGCCAGGACAACTTCTCCCAGCAGCAGCTCCATCAGCAATGAAGTGCTTCTTCTACGTACATGATGACTTCTGGGTTTTGGTGTAGTTCAGTAAATACACATCTGTGACTACTTTTTGCTTTTGAGATAAGTGTATAATGTATTTTCAGAATTATTGATTATACATATCTCTTTCACTTGTGCCATATTTTTCACGGGTGTCTTTTGTTCCACTCCCTGAGATAAGCCTATCAGTAATTCTGGATTTAAAAATTTAGCAAAAAGCAAGTAGTGAATTAGCAATTTTGCATAGTATTGGATGTTGAATTCAGGGAGGTGATTTTGTATTATAAGATCTTTGGATCAACAGCATAAACAGATCATTTTGCCTGTGAAACTGACTTGTGGGTGTTTTCCTTTATTGCTGGTGAGCTGAAGTGGTATTGTGATCTTGCTTTTTCATTTATCGTATTTCTGGGTGGATAGGCTGTCTCTGAACTTTCTGTGCCAGTTTTGGACTGGCCCACAGAGGATGCAGAATCAGGCTGATTCAGCTGTTAATTCTCTTACTCTGTGATGGTGTGGCAGTCAGGAATAGTGTGAAAAGTGTGGCTGGAGATTTTAGTTTCGTTCTGCAAAAGTTTTTAGAATTTATTATTAGAATTTGGGTAAGTTAATGCTACAGTAGAACTTGCTATCTTATCCTGCTGACTAGGAGATCTTTTGCAGCTTCTAACTGGAAAACGTCTGCGATAAACTTCAGCTAGATGTTATATAAATGTAAAGTAAAATAAGCTAGTAGCAAACATCGTATCGGCAAGTTTTGACCCAGTGTATATTGTTCTATCCTGGACATTTTGTAGAATTCATGTTAGTTGTATTTCAGTTTTGCTGTGTAGGATGTTTATAATTTAATATTAAATCATATACAACTTACCTGAATGGGAAAACACCAAATATTACCAAGTGAGCAGCGAGGAAATAAATCCACTAGAAAAAAAAGCATACTGCCTGTTTATGTATTGTGAAAGCTCAGCTTCATTTAATTCATTTCTGATGCTTTTCAGTCTACAGGCTTAGTACGTTTGAATATGTCTTCTCACAGTGTATTAAATCTTTGTGTAAGACCAAAGAAATTGTATTTAAACCTGTAGAGAATATGTTTAAAATATGCTTATACAGACTTACTTGTAAATAGTGCGTTTTTTAATGGACAGATGGCTTCCATTGATAAATACTGGCTATAGAAGTGTTATTTTGATGTGCAGAAGTATTGTCTTGGAAAGTTGTACAGTTTGATGATAGGTTGGTTTTGCCTGGGAAAGTGGTGGAACCACCACCC